AGATAGATAAGAGTAATAAGGAACATAGTGAGTTAGTTGAGAAGATACCCAGAGAAATTAAGAAAGCAGTTAAAGATTTAGAACATACAATAGAAATAAGGCATAACGAACAACACGAAGATAACCAAAAAGAAGAAGATAACCAAAATAAAAAAGAAGAAGATAACCAAAATAAAGAAGATAATAAAGAACATAAAAAAGAAGATAAAGATAATAAAGAAGATAAAGACGAAGACGAAGACGACGATAATAAAGAAAAAGACCAAGATAACCACCAAGATAATAAAAAAGACGATAAAGACCATAAAGACGACGATAATAACGAAGAAGACGATAATAACGAAGATAAAGAAGATAAAGACGACCATAAGGAAGATAAAGATAAAGAAGATAAAGAAGATAATAAAGACCATAATAAAGAAGATAAAGACCATAAAGATAAAGAAGATAAAGACCATAAAGATAAAGAAGATAAAGACCATAATAAAGACGATAAAGATAATAACGATAATAATAACGACCATAATAATAATAACGACGAGACTTCTGTTCACCTCTTTTGCTCACTTCGAAGCAAACCTTGCGAATTGATTGGTTTGGTTTTTGGAAAGTCTGAATCATGGATTACGTTCGAGTGATCAAAGCGAATATTTTAAAATAGAGGTAGATGAGCTAAATAGATTAATTAATGAAGAATGTTTCTTGACATGAATCGGTTTGGATGGAATTTCTGGCATTTGAATATAGTGAAAGTGTGGCTGTAACGATGTATTGTTGATTTCCTAAACTATCAGTGTAAGTTTTCTAAGTTTTGCGATGATCGAACGGTTTTTAGACTGCAGTATGTTTTCGGAGTCGAGTAGGATTCGTTTTGTATGTTTTGTTTTAGTTGAGAGGAATCGAAGCTTGCGGTTCGACATCCAACTAGTAGTGGAAGCCGTTGTGCTCTACTTTGGATGCTGAGTAGTTTTCAGAGATTCTACCACTTTCTGGACTTCAATCAGATT